AAGAGTGATTGTAGTTGAAGAAGGGAGTGAAGAACTGAAATCTAGAGCACATGTGAGACATGAGCCTTTGGTAAGAGGAGTGAGACTTTATCTGTTGGAATTGGGGGAAGGAAAAGGAAGTAGCGTCAATGCAAGGAGGCTTTTCAATTTGGTCGTAGACAAATAACTATTTCCCGTTTATTTTCTTAGTGAGTTATACAGTAAACTATCACCTGATGTGGGAATGGAAAGTGTGGGGAAGGGGAAGGGATGTGGTAGAATGGAGAAAGCTTTAAATAGTTGCCTTGTAATTTGGGAAAGTGAATTTAGTAGAGAAACGGAACGTGATCAGTAGGTATCATTATACGTGAGAATTGCAGTAATGACATAAAACATAAAGCCAATCATACTCCCTGCCCCTGTTTAGTAATTTTATTATTTTTTTCAATGCAGCAGTGTGCAACTGCTCCAGTGTAGTGAATGCGTGTTGGAGTCATCCAGGCTTGGATCTTTTCCAAATAAATAATGTGGAGGGAGAGAGTGGCCAGAAACTTAGAGGATTTTCAAGGGGGTAATTATGATGGGCCAAATAATCTAAGTTAGACAAAGAGGAAAATGACCTCAGAAGAGGGCGATGCATTATGAAAAGTGATGGGGGCTGATACATTGGGGGACCAAATCCAAGCGCTATTTCAATGGAAGTACTAGGTCAGTAACACTGACCACTATGGCTTCTCTCTAGTCCCTCAGTGTTTAAATGCAATGACTTGTGACAGCCTAGTCCTTCTCAGATATTAGATGAAGATGTTCTGGGAAGACTCTAATAAACCTAATATAAAGAGCCCCATTTGAAATTCTAAAGTTGTTTAGTCTGTAATCTAAACATGCCTGGGTTGTATGGTAGGCAAATGGGAGGGTCCGCTAAGGACTCCTGAGAAAGAACTTTACTAAGGGACCAAAGGGCTACTGAGAATGAAGTTTACCCTAAACAAAGCTGTTTTTGAAGTGTAGTGGCTTAGTCCAACTATAGCTGATCAGTGATGAAAGAAAGAGCCTCTTTGAATTTAGCACAGTCATCATGGCCCAGCTCCAAGAACATCTTAAGTTGAAGGAGAAGATTATGCAATCAAGAGTGAGTTGAATTTGCACTGGTCATCATCTGTTTTACATATAGTAATGTATATGTTGCATGCTATTCTCTCAATCATCCCACCCTTGCCTTCTCCCACTGAGTCCAAATTCTATTCTTTATATCTGTGACTCCTTTGCTGCCCTGCATGCAGGATCACAGTTACTGTATTTCTAAATTCCATATATAAACAGCAGGGCACCCAAAGTTGGTGCTCTGGGATAACGCAGAGGCATAGGGTGGGGAGGGAGGTAGGAGGGGGATTCAGGATGGGAGGAACACATGTATACCTCTGGCCAATTCATGTTGATGTATGGAAAAAAAAATCACAATATTGTAATTATCCTCCAATTAAATAAATTAGTTAAAAAAAGAGTGAGTTGAAATTGAGGCACTTTTCTTTTTTTTAAGATCTTACTGAAGACACAAGTTAAAGGAGAAAAGGAAAGGTATATCCATTTGAATAAAGAGTTTCAAAGAATAGCAAGGAGACATAAGAAAGACTTCCCCAGTGATCAATGAAAGAAATAGAGGAAAACAATAGAAGGGAAAGACTAGAGATGTTTTCAAGAAAATTAGAGATACCAAGGGAAAATTTCATGTAAAGATAGGCACAATAAAGGGCAGAAATGATATGGACCTAACAGAAGCAGAAGATATTAAGAAGAGGTGGCCAAAATACACAGAAGATCTTCATGACCCAGATAACCATGATGGTGTGATCATTCACCTAGAGTCAGACATCCTGGCATGCAAAGTCAAGTGGGCCTTAGGAAGCATCACTACAAGCAAAGCTAGTGGAGGTGATGGAATTCCAGTTGAGCTACTTGAAATCCTAAAAGATGATGCTGTGAAAGTGCTGCACTCAATATGCCAGCAAATTTGGAAAACTCAGCAGTGGCCACAGGACTGGAAAAGGTCAGTTTTCATTCCAATCCCTAAGAAAGGCAATGCCCAAGAATGTTTAAACTACTGCACAATTGCACTCATCTCACATAGTAGCAAAGTAATACTCAAAATTCTCCAAGCCAGGCTTGAACAGTACATGAACTGTGAACTTCCAGGTGTTCAAACTGGATTTAGAAAAGGCAGAGGAACCAGAGATCAAGTTGCAAACATCCATTGGATCATCAAAAGCAGAAAAAGATCTGCTTCTGCTTTATTGACTATGCCAAAGCCTTTGACTGTGTGGATCACAACACATTCTGGAAAACTCTTAAAGAGATAGGAATACCAGACCACCTGACCTGCCTCCTGAGAAATCTGTATGCAGGTCAAGAAGCATCATTTAGAACTGGACATGGAATAACAGACTGGTTCCAATTTGGGAAAGGAGTACATCAAGGCTGTATATTGTCACCTTGCTTATTTAACTAATATGCAGAGTACATCATGAGAAACGCTGGGCTGGAAGAAGCACAAGCTGGAATCAAGACTGCCAGGAGAAATATCAATAACCTCAGATATGCAGATGACACCACCCTTATGGCAGAAAGTGAAGAGGAACTAAAAAGCCTCTTGATGAAAGTGAAAGAGGAGAGTGAAAAAGTTGGCTTAAAGCTCAACATTCAGAAAACTAAGATCATGGCATCTGGTCCCATCACTTCATGGGAAATAGATGGGGAAACAGTGGAAACAGTGTCAGACTTTATTTTTTGGGGCTCCAAAATCACTGCAGATGGTGATTGCAGCCATGAAATTAAAAGACGCTTACTCCTTGGAAGGAAAGTTATGACCAACCTAGATAGCATATTAAAAAGCAGAGACATTACTTTGCCAACAAAGGTCCGTCTAGTCAAGGCTATGGTTTTTCCAGTGGTCATGTATGGATGTGAGAGTTGGACTGTGAAGAAAGCTGAGCGCCGAAAAATTGATGCTTTTGAACTGTGGTGTTGGAGAAGACTCTTGAGAGTCCCTTGGACTGCAAGGAGATCCAACCAGTCCATCCTAAAGGAGATCAGTCCTGGGTGTTCATTGGAAGGACTGATGCTGAAGCTGAAACTCCAATACTTTGGCCACCTGATGTGAAGAACTGACTCATTGGAAAAGACCCTGATGCTGGGAAAGATTGAAGGCAGGAGGAGAAGGGGACGACAGAAGATGAGATGGTTGGATGGCATTACGAACTCAATGGACATGAGTTTGAGTAAATTCTGGGAGTTGGTGATGGACAGGGAGGCCTGGTGTGCTGCAGTCCGTGGGGTCAGAAAGAGTGGACATGACTGAGCAACTGAACTGAACTGAACTGAATACACAAGGCAGTGACAGCCTGTGCAGTGGAATATAGCACAGGAGGTTGAAGAGTTACTTTTCAGAATTTATTATAATATCAAGACAATAATTATTATTGCAAGGAGTCAAATTATTGCATGGGTCAAGAAATGAAATTCCTGTAATTGCAGGTAGGGATGAAGCTGTAGAAAATTTTTGTTATTATGACTCTCTTTTTAGCTTTGGATGATATCGCCTGGCCAAACACAGCTTATGCAGATTCCTGTTATATGTATTTCTGGGGTTTATGTAACTTGCAGCTTTGTAGGTAGATCCCTATCACTGTAAGTGAAAGTGTTCTTTGCTCAGTCATGTCCCACTCTTTGCGAACCCCTGGACTGTAGCCCACCAGGCTCCTCTGTCCATGGAACTGTCCAGGCAAGAATACTGGAGTGGCTTGCCATTCCTTTCTCCAGGGGATCTTCCTGACCCAAGGATTGAAGCTGGGTCTTCTGCATTGCAGGCAGATCTCTTACTGTCTGAGCCACCAGGAATTGATGCTTTCAAACAGTGGTTCTGGAGAAGACTCTTGAGAGTCCTTTGGACTGCAAGGAGATCAAATCAGTTAATCCTAAAGGAAATCAACCCTGAATATTTATTGGAAGAACTGGTGCTGAAACTCTAATATTTTGGCCACCTGATGTGAAGAACTGAAACATTAGAAAAGACCCTGATGCTTGGGAAGATTGAGGGCAAAAGGAGCAGGGGGTGACAGAGGATGAGATGGTTGGATGGCATCACTGACTCAGTGGACACGAGTTTGAGCAAACTCCGGGAGATATGAAGGACAGGAAAGCCTGGCGTGCTGCAGTCCATGGGGTCACAGAGAGTTGAACACGACCCAGCGACTGAACGTCAACAACCCATCACTGATAAAGCCTCATCGATACTTTAAAGATCCTAATTCTGTGTAGCAGAGGTTTTCCTGTGCTAAGAACCACAAATTCAGATAATACTGAAACAAAAACAAAACAATGAAAGGGAAACCCAGAAATGCCTGGTTAGAATTCAATGCCATTTCTAAGAGAAGCTCTGTAACTGACAAAGATTCTTGCAGGGCTTGGAGATATGATCTGATTGGGTTAATAGTACAGAAGGGTTAAATTCAGAATGAAAGGTAAGTCTTTAAGAGTTTTTTTGTTTTGTTCTTTTAATTATCAAAAATGTATGCAGATACATTTGTTTTCCCATAAACATCAAGCCAAGAAACTCCTTAAAAATATCTGAGCATCTCTGTTTCCATCTCCGTACGCTCATATAGATCCACAGGATGCCAAAACATCCAGAGCTCATCAAGAGAGCTAATCAGACTCTTATTGTGCAAATGATGAAACTCAGATCCAGAAAGCAGAAATGAGTTGACTGGTGAACATCAGATCCAGAATTCAGGTCTCTTTACTCCTTGTTTATTTCTAGATTCTTCAAGATAAACCTCTGTTCCTCTCCCAGGAGAGTGCCAAAAGCACAGGTTCACTACAAAGACAGGTAGGTGTGCAGCTCAGAGTATCCAAGAAGACTTCATATGTCTAAGGATCTAAAACAGCAAGGAGCCTACCCTTTCCCTTTCCGGGTGGGATTGGTAACTTAACTGACATGTGTTTTCAAAATTTCCTTGGAGGGCTAGGTTGAGACCTGGCCCCTCACCTGTAGCTGGGCTGTTGCTGCAAGCATCTTCTGCCGAGTTTGTAGTACTGTGGACGAGGACATGGAGATAGGTAGGCTTTGCCTCAACCACCTTATATCTTCCCACATACAAGACAGCTGCAAAAGAAGTCACGAGGTCATACCATCATCCAAGCCAGCGCATGATTTAGGTTGTGGCATCAAAGCAAAGCAGTCAGGAGGAAACCTGACACCTGGTGTTTGTTCTCCAGTCCATTTTCAGATACATGCAAAACAACTTTTTGATCTCTGTCCCACTGGAAGAAGATCTGAATGTTAATGAAACAATCAGATCCCCATTTTAGTCTTTGCCAAATGATCCCATAATTCAGAATACTGGAGACACCCTCTGACAGGATAGAAGCTTCTTTGCTCTGAAAATGTGGTGTAGATACTATTTTGGCATTTTTAATGACAAAGGGCATATCGGGCCAGAAAGAGACCATTGAGATAATTTACTGCCACTCCAATATTTTGATCACTGGAGATTCCTCAACTTCTAAACTAAAGTTTTAGAGATTTATGTGAGGTACTGTTGGTGCAAAGTGGGGAAGAATAAAATTAGAACTCAGGATACCTTGGTGAACCACAGAAAATCTTGTGTAATGGAACTGGTGTGAGAGTCATCTATTTCAACAATCGGTATTTGATCTTCATTGGTGACTAACATATTGTCTTTGTAATAAAATATAACAGCTATGTAGAGTCCCCTGAAAAGAAAAAGCAAAATAAAAATTGTCCTCAACCATCTTCTCCAAGCCTGAATCATAGAAATAGTATTTTTGGGCATGATAAATGATCATTTAAAATACACTTATGAAAATATTCTTGTTAAGTACCACAAATTTATTGGCTAGAATTCAAAGAAATAATTCTTTTGTCCAGATTCTCAGAAGAAAGGTGAATTTTATATTCTTTTAATAATAAAACAGCAATATTTACCAAGTTTCCACTCAGAACCAAAATCAGTAGATTCCTGAGATGCTAAGACTTCCTGGAAAAACTACAAAGGACCCACCGTTTCAAGGTCTTCACAAACTTGTTTGAGGAATGGAATAGATGTTTCAGGCTCCTGGAGACTGACGGCTTGCGGCCCGAGGTTTGCACTTTTGAACTTTCTGAAACACAGAACAAAGTACAGTGTGAACTTCACTGGAAGAAGAGGCTCTCAGAGCCTTCCTCCCATCTCTCTGCCTTTCTCTCCCCTGTCCTCTCAGCGCACTTATGTTCAGTTTCAGAAGGACTCAGCTCATTCTCTCTGTCTAGGAGCTTCTGTATCTTGAGATGCCAGTAGTTAACTGAGTTAGTGAATAGCTCCTCAAAAATGTTGAAAATGAGTAACGTTTATAACTCCAGGGGAAATCACTCCGGTGTTCTGTTTATATCCTCCTTATTTATCACGAGGTGGAATAAAAAGAAATAGAATCAACTTTTGTCCCCAGCACATATTGCCTTTTAATAGTCACACACTTCTCAATGTTGACAAAACTCTTATTAGACTACATATTCCATTAATTTTTTTTCATTATAAAATTAATATAGGCACATTACAGGAAGTCTGGAGCATAGAAAAGGAACAACACCCCACACATGCCATCTTGCCACTTTGGCAGAACCATTGCTAATATTCTGGGGTAGTTTTTTTTTTTTTTTTTCCTCAGAGTGTATGTTGGCTTACAAAAATAGCTGTAGGCATGGTTAACATCTTCATTATTCAGAAGAAGATACTGAGATAGGTTAAGTGGTTTGTCTAAAATACAAAAACCGGTACCCAGATGAACACATTTATTCACTGAAAAATATTTGTTGGGACACCACTATATGTTAGGTTCTGTGGTTACTGTGATGAGCCAATCATCCACTGCTTCTGTTTAGCTCTTTTATTTACAATCTGGAGCTCTCACTGATAAAAGTAGTAGCATCGAAACATATGCATTACCATATGTAAAATGACAGCTAGTGGGAAGTTGGTGTATAACACAGGGAGCTCAGTAGTAACCTAGTGATAGGTTATCTGGTGCTATCTGTGATAACCTGGAGGAGTAGATGGGGTAGGGGGTGGGAGCGAGGTTCAGGAGGAAGGGGGCACATGTATATTTATGGCTGATCCATGTTGCTGTACTGCAGAAGCCAACAAAACATTGTAAAGCAATTATCCTTCAATTAAAAAAAAAAGTAATAGATTTCCTGTAACAGTATTTGCAAAGAGTGCTCCCTAGAGCTGAACGAAATGATCATTGATTTAATTCTTAAGTATACTTAATGAAGCTGACCTAGATGATCATTACTTTAATTCTTAAGTATAATTAATGAATGGAAGATGCAGTTGTTGGGATCATCACCAAACTCTTGACAGACATGTTACTGGGGATGAGAACAGTCTATCACTGCTCTTAGACATGGAAACCTGGGCAGATGGCCTGTGCTTGAGGCCCAGTGTGGTTCTGCCTATGATCCTAGAGGAGACGTTGGGAATGAGCTGACTGATGCAAGCTTTCATGCCAGCTTCCCTTGTGCTGATAGTGGTTAGTCCTGCCAGGACAAAGCAAAAGCATTTTCTTCTAACTGGAACATGAATTTGGCTGGTCATATCCTGCTTGAACCGCTGCTGGGGCTCGTGATTAAAGGGAGCATATTGAACATATTCATTACATGCTCCTCTCTTCCAAACCTTACTACAAGCAGAGTTGTTGTTCAGTTGTTCAGTCGTGTCTGACTCTGCGACCCCATGGACTGCAGCACGCCAGGCTTCCCTGTCATTCACCAACTTCCGGAGCTTGCTCAAGCTCATGTCCATCAAGTTGGTGATGCTGTCCAACCATCTCATTCTCTGTCATCCCCTTCTCCTCCTGCCTTCAGTCTTTCCTAGCATCAGGGTCTTTTCTAATGAAAAGGTGGCCAAAGTACTGAAGCTTCAACAGCATCAGTCCTTCCAATGAATATTAAGGACTGATTTCCTTTAGGATTGATTGGTTTGATCTTCTTGCTGTCCAAGGGATTCTCAAGAGTCTTCTTTAATACCACAATTCAAAAGCATCAATTCTTCAGCACTCAGCCTTCTTTATGGTTCAACTGTCACATCCATACATGACCACTGGAAAAACCATAGTCTTGACTAGATGGACATTTGTCGGCAAAGTAATGTCACTGCTTTTTAACATGCTGCCTAGGCTGTTCATAGCTTTTCTTCTAAGGAGGAAGCCTCTTTTAATTTCATAGCTGCATTCACCATCTGCAGTGATTTTGGAGCCCAAGAAAATAAAGTCTGTCACTGTTTGCATTGTTTCCCCATCTATTTACTATGAAGTAATGGGACTGGATGCCATGATCTTCATTTTGTGAATGCTGAGTTTTAAGCCAGCTTTTTCACTCTCCTCTTTCACCTTCATCAAGAGGCTCTTTAGTTCCACTTCGCTTTCTGCCATAAGGATGGAATCATCTGCATATCTGAGGTTATTGATATTTCTCCTGCCAATCTTGATTCCAGCTTGTGCTTCATCTAGCCCAGCATTTCGCATGATGTACTCTGCATATAAGTTAAAGTGGAATGATTGTATACAGTCTTGACGTACTCCTTCCCTAATATGCAACTAGTCTGACATTCCATGTCCATTTCTGTTGTTTCTTGACCTGCATACAGGTTTCTCAGGAGGCAGATCAGGTGGTCTGGTATTCCCATCTCTTGAAGACTTTTCCACAGTTTGTTGTAATCCATACAGTTAAAGGCTTTGGCATAGTCAATGAAGCAGATATTTTCCTGAAATTCTCTTGCTTTTTCAATGATCCAATGGATGTTGGCAATTTGATCTCTGGTTCCTCTGCCTTTTCTAAATCCAGCTTGAACATCTGGAAGATCTTCGTTCACATACTGTTGAAGCCTGGCTTGGAGAATTTTGAACATTACTTTGCTGGCGTGTGAGATGAGTGCAATTGTGCAGTAGTTTGAACATTATTTGGCATTGCCTTTCTTTGGGATTGGAATGAAAACCGACCTTTTCTAGTTGAAATATATGTTTTTCTGGAATTCTCTTGCTTAAGAGATTTAAAAAAGAGGAAGGGATGTAAATCTATAAAGACAAAGAGATGGGAAAGGAGATAAAAGCAAGTGAATTTTGGTAGCTAGGAAGCAGATGGACAGAGGGATTTAGTAGACTTGAGGAAGATGAATCCTCAGCCAACAGTGGAGAAAGTTGAAAAGTAACATGAGTCACCCCATGGGCATCATACATTGCTAGAAGTGAATGATGAATGTGGAGCTAAAATGAGGAGGATTTGTTGAAATCTGTTTAAAAAGTAGTTAGAGGTCTAGATAGCCTTCCCTATCCCTTCCCCATTCTAGATGAAAGATGGTAGCTTAATTTCAGGAAAGAATAAACAGAGATCTTTGGCGTGAAAGACATTATGTATGGTTATAAATGGAAGGAGGGAGTGGTATGTACTCAAAACAAGTGGATTACATGAAAGCTTCCTTACAGCATGTTTCCCCATTGGCCTCTGGGAACACTGGTACTCAAACTTCTACCCTCCAGGCAGAACACTGGAAATAGTGTCTGTGGAGACTCTGATTAGCATAAGAATACACCTAAAGATTCTGACGTTGGCTTTATTACTTTCCTAAAGTTAAGGCTATGCTGGATCACTCTACAGTGGTCTGTTTAAGAGCCCCATCCTTGTGTTCAAAGCTTCTCAACAGCTATTGAGTTCTCTTCTCTTAAATCTGAACACATATACAAGGATCACTAGGCAGTTTGGATAACATGTAACAGAAAAAGCACAGGCCAGAAACAAGCAAAAGAGCAGTTTAGAGAGGAGTCTATGTTGAAAAAAGAAAACACAAAATGAAAAAAAGCCAATCATTAATAGCCTGAGAGACAAGCAAAGACTTTGCATCCTTGTAAAAAAGATAAGCGTCTGTAAGAGAAATTTTCAGAGAACAACAGAGAGCATCAGAAGCTAGAAATATGTTATTGAAGTCTGAAAAGCCAACTAAGAAGTGAAATTGGGGGAATCTGCAAGAAGGTGGAGCAAAGGAACATGAAATGTAGGAGAGGAAAAAAAACAAATGGGGCTGGTTTATGAGGTTCAAGTATCTGAATTAGGGTTCTCACAGGAGAGAGCAGAGCAAAAGGAAGGGAAGAAATAACTAAAGAAATAATTTAAGAAAATATCCCATAATTGAAAGCTGTAAGTTTCCATATTGAAAGGGCTTGCCAGATGTGCAGCACAACACACAAAAAAGAGCCACTCAAAGGGACATGGCAGTGAAATTTTAGAATAGTGAATTTATAAAGAAAGCTTAAAGACTTCCAGGGCAGGAAAAAGTAGCTTTCATATAAAACTTCTGGAATCAGAATAGTGTCAGACTTTTCAGCACTGAAGGCTTGAAAATGGTGAATATGAAACAAAGATATTTCAGCTGAGAATTCTACATGTATCTAAATCCTTAAATAAATATTAAATAAAATAAATACATTTCCAGACACTTAATGTATCCAAAAATTAGCTCCCAAGTATCTATTAGGAAGTTACTAGAGGAAAGGCTCCACCAATGACAGACAAACCCCAGAAAAAGGAAGAGATGGTAAACAGAGGAACTCCAATATTGGAGAGTGGAAAGAAGAATCCTCAATATGGTGATGAAAGGAGATCCTGGAGTGACAGATATTTAACAGACATGGAGGCATCCAGTAACCAGTCTAGACTGGAGCAGGTTAGAGGACTGTATGAGAGGTTTCTTTAAGAAGGTGCACTAGAAACAATACTTACGTATCTGATTGTACTGAGAGAAAATTGATGGAACTGGAGAGTAGCTTGGGGGTTAGTTAGTTATAACATGGAAAGATTAAAAAACACATAATAAAAGTTGAGTATTATCTACAGGGGAAATAAAATTTTATCTAGGAAAGGAAAATGATCATAAAATTTATATGATCATTATAACATTAGCAATAAATATTGATCTTATTAAAATTATAATATTAGGAGGATGTATGCATGCTTAGTCACTCAGTCATGTCAAATCTTTGTAACCCTGTGGACTATAGCCCACCAGGCTTCTTTGTCCATGGGATTCTCCAGGCAAGAATACTTGAATGCATTGCCATTCTCTTCTCTGGGGGGTAAGGAGGATAAGGGGGTAGGAATTATATGTGCTTGTAAGAGAGTGGAGGGATAAAAAAGAAATAATCATCTTCCTTAGTGAAATAGTAACTATAATTTTTAAAAATCAGGAATTAGCAATATAACCCTGTTATTTAGAGATAGAGGAAAAAACAAAAAAATAATCGAGCCTTTAGGGAATAAAAAACATGATGGGAGAAATTGCTTTTTCTTTAATAATGAAGCTTTTCTTAATGCTTTACTTATTTTAAGTCATTCAGTTCTCAAATAACTGACAGGTTTACATAATTCTTATTTGCATTTTACAAGTGAGCAAAGTGAGGTATAGAGAAGGTGGGAATTTACTTAAGATCACACAACTTTGTAAATGTTCAGCCTGTGTTTGAACCCACATAATCTGGCTTCAGATTACAGTCATATATAACTTAATTAAAAATGAAGACTAAACTAAAAAAAATTAGGCTAAAAAAAGAGAAAATGAGAAATGCTGCTACTAGCTGGGGAAGGGGCCCATGGAAATGTCAAATATTCCAGATCTCCTCCAGTTTGGGCAAACAGTAGAATTACACTTCTTGGGGCTCTTGTGGTTGGGTTGGGGCCATGCGACCAGTTTTGCTGATGGATTTTGAGTGTGAATGTTAGTCTTGTCCATGTGAGACCTTCAAGTGTCTTTTCTCCCCCCATGGGTTGACAAATATTTCTAGAAAGAGTATCGTGACAGGACTGATGGATAGCCAGCCCTTAGCTGACCAGTGACAGACGTATAGTAGTAGCACATGGGAGAAATAAATATTTTGCAGTTCATTTGGATACCGCAGCATGACACAGCCCATCTTGACTGATGAAAGTGAAAGTGTTAGTCACCCAGTTGTGTCCGACCCTTTGCAACCCCATGGACTGTAACCCACCAGGCTCCTCGTCTGTGAAATTCTCCTGGCAAGAATATTGGAGAGGGTAGCTATTCCCTTCTCCAGAGGATCTTCCTGACCCAGGGATCGAACCCAGGTCTTCTGCATTGCAGGCAGACTTTTTTTTACTGTCTGAGTCACCAGACTGATACAAGATCTAAGCTCACTTCTCTCCCAGGAACACTGTGGTTTCTATTCTGTTTTTGCTTAGTTCAGAATTCTGGAGCAATGGTTAGTTTTCTGGACTCTGAATGCAGCTGGTCTTTAGTTTTTAAGTGCTTAGAGCATAGAGAGTTTATTTTATTCATACCAGTACATCTAGCACCTAACACATAGTAGACAATGTTTCAGTTAAGGTTTGCCAGTTGAAAAATTGGAAAATAATTGAAATTCACTCCTGTAGGCGACTGCTTTAGTGAACACAGTTGACTCCTTTATATTTCATTATGTATGTCGGGGCATTAACCTCGTGAACAATCAAGGCCATGCAATACTGCCACTGAATTTCCATCTCTAAAGATGTGAATTAGCTGTGTCCAGTTCTTTAGCCAAAAATAAAGAAATTAATGTGGGTTTTGGTATCTTCTGTGTAGGGCTTTGGTAGGAGAAGGAATGTTTTGTTATTAGTTCTGCATTTAGAATATGCTGTGTGTTTATTGAGTACTGCAGGCTCATTGCAATGGAGTCAGTGATTCCACTTTAATTCTAGGACATATAAAGTGCTGAGGATGGAGAGTGCTCCATTCTTCAACTGGAAGAACAATGGAAAAAAATAAGCTTAGAGTTTGCCAAGTGCCTACACTATGCCAGATGAGTTTAATCCATTATCTAGTTTAACTCTTAAAACAGTCCTTCAGATGGATATTATTATGCTGGCTTTTTCTGATAGGGAAGTTATGGCTCAGAGAGGTTAAATGCTTTTCTTAAGTATGCACAGTAAGTGGTAAAAATGGGATTTTAAATAATTGTTTTTTTCTAATTATGAAAGTTGTAAACCACATAGTATCAATGTGCTTGAGTATTTTAAACAAAAGTTCAGTAGTTTTCTGTATACAATACCTAGTTATCCTTCTTTTATCCTTTTAGACTTAGAAAGATTTATGTTGTATCATCTTGGAAGATCATTTGTTTTACCCTGGTGTATGACAGGTCAGTGTTCCTCAAAGTTTGTGCCTTGGAACCCTTTTTCTGTAAAAAAGGTTTTACAATAGCCAAATAAGTTTGGAAAATGCTTGCTTAACCAAATTCAAAATGTCTTTTTATCAGAGTCTTTAATGTCTATTTTAGATTTCCAATAAAGGGATATATAATGTAACAATCCCCACATTTACTTGACCAGAGACCCTCTTTCAGCTGAGCAAATTATGCAACCACTCTTCTTTGGAACACACTTCAGGTACTGTTTAAGTATCCAATGTTCATTTCAATATAAAAATACTCTTCTCTTTTGGGAATTCTACTTAATGCCTTACTTAATCTTGCTTGATGCTATGTGTATATTTATATCTCTGTGGGGGGAAAATATGTACATGATAAAAGTTGAATGGCAACTATAGAAATAACTAGGCTGTCAAGACAATCATTTTCTGATTATTGGACTGTAACCCAGTAGTATTGGAGAGAGCATCTAAATCCTCAGATAATATAAAAAAACAATCCCTCATTCCATGAGTAGTTTTAGCTTTCCCCCTCTGATCTTTATCAGAAAACACAAAATGGCTTATGAATTGCAAAGAAAAATCTATCCAATTGCTTTATCATTTTTGCATGCCATGCAGGAGCCGAAGGACAGGGAAATGATGGAAAGGCAGAAGAAGAGAAATGAGCCTAGGTAATGTGTGGCTTGGTTAAATGGACCCTGGATAACTGAGAACTGAGGGTATTTTGACCAATGTGGAATGTTGAAGGCTCTTGTCTGGCTAAAGTGTTCCTAGAGATCCAAGAATGAAATTCCACTTGGGTTTCCTTCTCAAGCTTCTTCCATGCATATTCAAATCTCCTAATGAACCAACTACTCATTAGAACATGATTTTCTTGCAAACACTTGTGCTCATTTCTAGCTATAGCTGGCATTTCTTAACGGCTCTGTTGTCATAGCTATATAGCAAATGGGAACAACTTTTGCTAGTGTTTAATATGCTTTCCTTATACCCAGTCAAAACCCGTTCAGCATTTCTTAGTTTCAACCATAGATTTCTAACCTAGCTGGTCCAGCAGTGCTCTATTGTAGAGAGTACAATGCAGTTAGAGATCTGATGGGTGAAGGAGCATGGAAAATGAAAACTTTATGGAACTTTTAATTCTCCAAATAAAACTAAGTGCCTGCTCCACAAATCATTACACAGATCAGAAACCTGACCCTGTCCCGTTTGAACAGCCCAAGTAGAAAATAATCTTTTTAAAGCTTCTCAGAGATTTTCTGGGTATAGTTAGCTACGTCTAGAGAAGGTGTACTCCACTTTCTCATGAGCAGTAGTGCAGGGAAGGTTTAAAATTCAGGGTGAGATTAAAAGCCAGTGCCCAGTCCTGATGTAAGAGTGGGACACAAAAATGAGCCGTAACAAGAATACTGGCTTGGAGACAGAAAGCCTACATTGGTATCTTGATTCTGTTTCTTCTTGGCATTTTGACCTTGGTCAAGCCACTTAGCCTCAGTGATAATTTCCAAAATGAGGATGAAGAGAGATATTGAATGTGAAATTGCATGTAAACTTTATTATAAATATACACAAAAGTTTGCCGATACAATTTGGTTGAGCTTCCACAGGGATGCTCAGAGAATTTTTGATGCAGGTGAAAAGTTTGAGGGTGAGCATCCCAAAGACCTTGCACACTGAGAGGTTCTGTAAAAATGCAGTTTAAATAAAACTAGTGGCAGTTGCTATTTTTCCTGTGCTTTTTTGCAAACTGTTCCTATGGAGTGAGGGTGTGAAAGAAAAAGGAAGGGAAGGAAGGGAGAGTCTCTTCTCAAGGGTTAAAGCAAGATAGTGCTGTAAAGTGATTCCAGATGTACAAATATTAATATCTCTCTCCCTCCTTGATGAATGAGAAGGTATGACCCAGTTAGGAAGCTGCTAAAATTACCGGCGCCACCGAGACCTCAGTCGATGGCCCGGAGGAGATTTTTATCCTTACCCCGGCAACTATATTGCTGATGAAGGGCTCGGACCTGCTGCAGCAGACCTTCCAAAACTTCACTCTGTCCCTTGTGTCTGGGCGCTCTGTCGTCATAGTCTTTCCAGTCTATTGAACAAAAGAAACAAACAGAGTGAAATTTTCGAGTAGCAGAGGCCTCTTCCCTGCCTTGCCTCGGGAGCTGAGTTTTATCATACTGCCCACAGACTCTGTGGGTGAGCACCCAGCACTCACACAGTGAGCAGGAACTGCCAAGGGTTCGGAACCGGCCATTGTTCAGGCCCTGCACAAAACAGTAATTATGGTTGGTGTCTTGTGTTGGGCTGTTTCAAGGCAAGAGAAAATGGTAATTGAAAGCCAAAAGAAAATAGAGGATTTGGGAGTCCCGTGTCCCCTCCCGCAGCTCCTTACCCGCCTTCTCAGCATCCGTGTCCTAATCAGTTCCCCTGTCACCTCTCCATTCAGCACCCCAGGTTGTGACTGCATTTCCACAGAAGGAAAGAAAGGGGTGGGAATGTGCAGACGAGATGAAATCCACAGTCCCAATGCTTTTATTGCAGGTTTCACACTTTTGGCCAAATTGACATTTCTTTCCAAGGAAAGAGCCCATGTCAGATGCCAAGAAATGGAAATCTACATTTTAGCTCTAATGAATGTCTGCTTTGGTTAGCTGGCACAGCGACGCCTGCACATACTCTGGGCCACCAACCACCCCGTCTGCTCAGTCTCTAAGTATACAGTATTAGCTTACATGGCAAATTTAAATTGCAATACCCACTGAGATTTTTCTCCCCCTTCTATTTTCATTCCATTTGGCTATGATGATATCAAAAGTAATAATCCGTATGGGTCTAATGTCAAGATTATAATTCTGCTGTCTCCAACCCTAGTTTTTTTTTTTTTTTTTCCCAGCAGGTCAGTCATTTCATAGTTCATCCCTTTCCTCCTCTAATCTCTTTCTCCCGGCTTTTACTTTCTGGATCTTTCAAAAGCAACAATTTAAAGTGCTTCTTATTTTAAATGCTTTCTCTAAAATTGGTAGACATTCTTTTCAAGAAAAGCCAGTTAGTTCATGAATATATCTGAGGCTTAAGTTCTAATTGAACAAGTTTCAAGTTCCCTCCACCAAGAGTTATTTTAAAATAGCGAGTCCCTCTTGTTTAGCCTCCCTTGTTAAGCTGATGCCATGACAGTTGAAAGTGAAGTGAAAATGAGAGTTGCTCAGTCACGTCCGACTCTCTGCGACGCCATGGACTATACAGTCCATGGAATTCTCCAGGCTAGAGTACTGGAGTGGGTAGCCTCTCCCTTCTCCAGTGGATCTTCCCAACCCAGGAATCTAACTGGGGTCTCCGGCATTGCAGGCGGATTCTTTACCAGCTGAGCCTGAGGGAAGACCACCATCACAGTTAATGTTAGGTGAAAGCATTCTGGATTGGTCCATCCTAGACCAAGCAGTTCAGCATAGTCAGAGAGAACTCAGGTTATGGAGTCAGATAAGTCTTGTTTTAAGCCTTGGCACTTCTGATTCCTAGTTTTGTGTCTGTAAGACAAGTTACTTACACTGACAGTGACTTGGCTCAGTAGTATGAACAAGGGGTATGGTATCTATCTGGCAGGATTTTTGTGCGGATTAAATGAGAGGTGTATTATATTAGATATTCAGCACAGTGTTACATGACAAGCCTTATGTAAATAATAACTTAAAAAGAAGGGAACTCCTTGATGGAAAGTGAACTTCCTGAATGGGGTATATGGAAACATCATTTCTTACCTTAGCAGATAATTCCCTTTGAAGTGGAAGGCCTCAGAGATTTTCTAATCCCTCTTCCTTCCCATCTACCCACCATGTACCCATCTTCCTTTCACCTCTCAGAAAATAAAGGCCGAGAGATAGCCATTCAGCTTGTTGGTGGCGTAGCCAGGACTATAACAGAGTCTCATGGCCCTCCATATAGTGCTCATTTCCTTATACCGTGGCGATGCTTTTGTTTTTGTTTTCTTTTGAGAAGGAGGGTGAGAGTTTGGTTGGAGTCTGTGTGCTGTGGCTTAGTTGTGGTCAACTCTGGAGACAGGGAATTGGCATAGGTGCTTTCTGTGGACGCTGTTCCTTGTTGGCAGAAACCATGACTTAATTTCTCTTTGCCTCAGGGTTCTTCTCTGTAAAGTGAGCTTTTGAATCTCTTTTTTAGGTTATTTGTGGTTTCAGAGGAATAATGTAAGTAAAGCACTATTCTGGGCACATTATTCTGGAGATGCTCATTAAATGTTGGTAAAGCATTGTGACTTGAAACATGATGGTGTTCATGTAGAATGGGCTAGGAAAGAGCTTTTACTGGGAAATTTAGAAATGTCTGAGGAAACAAATTCCAAGTGGCCCTTGGACTATCTATAGTGGCCCTGGTATCTGGACACAGTGAGAATAAACAATGCTCTCGTGAGTTCCCAGAGGCCATTATGTGTTTGTTCTCTTAGGTGAATCTATCTGAAGTACTCCGATAAGATGAGCAAAGCTGCCTGCTTGAGTGAGACTCCTGGGTGGCTGAATTACTGCATGATTCTGAACGTACTCATACATTCTAATGAGTGTTAATACTGCCGTCAGTGCAGGGGGAGATGAATTAGACCTGGCTCTTTCAGCTGAGCCCTATTACTCAGAGGCGAGCTTGAACGGATGACTTTATGATACATTAGAAAGTTGCTAATGCTAAATTGAAGCCCGAGTGAGCGCTGGACATGATGCCAAGGTTTTTGGAAAGAATGGGTTTTTCTCATAGATGTTTGGAAGGTTCTGATGACTACATAAAATAGGAGACTTTAGGGATGAGGGAGAAAATTGAAAATATATTAAGAAATCAGGAACCTGACAGGAATAAACTTAGTGTGGTAGGAAAAGAGCAGACTGTGCCACATAATACTGTTCACTGTTCTGGTAATGAGAACACTTCAGTCGCAACACAACGCAGAGCTTACATTCACTGGCGATATCAGGGCTCTCCTGATCATAACTCAGACAAGTCTGTCTGGGTCCTTTTCTCTTGTTATGTACCATGCCACTTAACATCAGTCTATAAAAACACATCAGGGCCTTTTGTAAAAATATTTTTTAAAGTTTTATAGCTTACTGGAACATATTACCAAATTTCCAATTACTCTGTCATGTTAGAATACATTGTCTTCTAGTAAATATCTGAATACTGATACATGTTACATCACAATGTCATACTCTGTTTATAAATAGAACCAGAGTGTTTTTATATTGTTCTTTCCAAGTGACATGGCAAGTCTGCAGCGACTATAATGACATGTTTTGATTTCAGTTCTTTGCCAGATACCCCTACTAATCAAATGTGCTGTTTTAGAAAGTGTTGCCATTTGCTATGTTAATTACCAAGTAATAAGTAACTCTTCCCAGCCCTGGACAACTGTTCTTTTCATTCTGGAGACAGCTCTTCAAATGGGCTGTGAGGGAGAGTATCTGAATAGAATTTGAAGTTTACAGAATCAGGATCCATCTGATGTTTATAAGTAAATACATAATATAAATCAGAATTTGCATTGGATAAGCATTTGTAGTGGGTTCCCCTTGCCCCAGCTTCAGGTGTACTATCTTTTCCTACTTTTTTTTTCTCTTGCTTTTCTATTCCTTCTATCCTTCCATCTTCAAAAATACATATCCTTCCTCTCTGTACCACCCTGGAATGACATTGGTTCTTTAAGTATCTTAGTATACCAGATAGTATAGTAGTGTCTTATCTTAATCTTGCAACATTCCCCACATGTGCTTCTGGAAAGTCTTCAGTAAGAAAGATGCCCAGGTAAGACTGGAATAGGTAAATCATCAAACGCTAGGGGACTCAGGAGTCTTAGAGATCTTTGGTATTTGTGGTCCAAGGCTCTGTATGGCCCGATTTAGCTATCTGAATCTACAAGAGTCAAGAATACACAGAAGAACTCTACAAAAAAGTTCTTAATGACCCGAATAACCATGATGGTGTGGTCACTCACCTGAAGCCAGACATCCTGGAGTGTGAAGAGGGCCTTAGGAAGCATTACTATGAGCAAAGCTAGTGGAGATGATGGGGAATTCCAGCTGAGCTATTTAAAAATCCTAAAGGATGCTGCTGTGAAGGTGTTGTACTCAATATGCCAGCAAATTTGGAAAACTCAGCAATGGCCACAGGACTGGAAATGGTCAGTTTTCATTCCAATCCCAAAGAAAGACAATGTCAGAGAATGTTCAAACTGCTGCACAATTGCACTTATTTCACATGCTAGCAAGGTATGCTCAAAATCCTTCAAGCTAGGCTTCAACAGTATGTGAGCCGAGAACTTGCAAATGTACAAGCTGGGTTTAGAAAAGGCAGAGGAACCAGAGATCAAATTGCCAACATCTGTTGGATCATAGAAAAAGCAAGAGAATTCCAGAAAAAAACATCTACTCCTGCTTCATTGACTCTGCTAAAGCCGTTGTGTGGATCACAAAAACTGTGGAAAATTCTTGAAGAGATGGGAATACCAGACCACCTGACCTGCCTCCTGAGAAACCTGTATGCAGGTCAAGAATCAACAGTAAGAGCTGGACATGGAGCAACAGACTGGTTCCAAATAGGAAAAGGAGTATGTCAAGGCTGTATACTGTCATCCTGCTTATTTAACTTATATGCAGAGTACATCATGCGAAATGCTGGGCTGAATGAATCACAAGCTGGAATCAAGATTGCTAGAAGAAATACCAATAACCTCAGAAATATCAATAACCAAGAGAAATATCAGTAACCTCAGAAATATCAATAATCACCCAATGGCAGAAAATGAAGAGGAACTAAAGAGCTTTTTGATGAAGGTGAAAGAGGAGAGTGAAAAAGCTGGCTTAAAACTCAACATTCAAAAAACTAAGATCATGGCATCTGGTCCAATCACTTCTTGCAAATAGATGGGAAAAAATGGAAATAGTGACAGACTTTATTTTTCTGGACTCCAGAATCATTGCAGACATTGACTGCAGCCATAAAATTAAAAGAAGTTTGCTATAACAAGCCTAGATAGTGTATTGAAAAGCAGAGACATCATTTTGCTGAAAAAGGTCTGTATAGTCAAAGCTATGGTTTTTCAATAGTCATACATGGATGTGAGAGTTGAACCGTATAGAAGGCTTAGTGCTGAAGAATTGGTGCTTTCTAACTGTGGTGTAGGAGAAGACTTCTGAGAGTCCCTTGGCCAACAAGGAGATCAAACCAGTGAATCCTAAAGAAAACCAATCCTGAATATTCTTTGGAAGGACTGATGCTGAAGCTGAAGCTCCAATAATTTGGTCACCTGATGTGAACTGCTGACTCACTGGAAAAGACCCTGCTGCTGGGAGAGGTTGAAGGCAGGAGGAGAAGGGGCGACAAGGATGAGATGGGTGGATGGCATCTTTGACTCAATGGACATGAATTTGAGCAAACTCTAGCAGACAGTAAAGGACAGGGAAGCCTGGCATGCTGCAATCTATGGGGTTGTAAAGAGTCATACCTGACTGAGCAACTGAACAGCAACAGCAATAATCCACCAGAGGCAGTAGTTGGTGTTGGCTGGCTGGCTTTTAGTCTGATGGTCTGCCTGATAGCAGGGCACTAGTTACTGCATAGAGTCTTGACTCAGTTCAGTTCAGTTCAGTCACTCAGTCATGTCCGACTCTTTGTGACCCCATGAATCGCAGCACGCCAGGCCTCCCTGTCCATCACAAACTCCTCAGATGCCATGGTCTTAGTTTTCTGAATGTTAAGCTTTAAGCCAACTTTTTCACTCTCCTCTTTCACTGTCATCAACGACTAGTTTAGACTTAATCCTGGCTCGGCCATGTACCAAAGTTATGATTTTGGGCAAGGCAGCATCTCTCCATCCTAATTTCCTTATTAGTAGAGGAGGAGTAAAGCATGGTGGTTAAGAGCAAGGGACACAGGGTTTAGACTTGACTTTAGTGTTTGCTAATTTTGTGTTGTTGGGCTGTATGTGTGTGTGTTATGTACATCGACATTAATAGTTCCCTCATCAGTAAAACAGTAAAAATCACTTCAATAGGGTTGTTACGAAGATTGACTTAATCTGTATAAAATTCTCAGATCAACATGCAGCATATAAGCACTTTTAGAAATGTCAGCTCTGGTGTTGATAGTGATGCAGAGGATAATGGTGATGTTTGTCCACAAGATGGGAGCAGCAACTTGTTAGGATTAAGTGACACACGGACTGTGAAAGCTCATAAATTACCACCTGATTCGTGGTTTCTCCTGGGTAGGCATTATTAGAATACTTGAAAAATACATAAACATGTAAAAAGGAAACTCAAGAGCCCATAATCTTATAACCTAAATATCCACTGTTAAATTTTAATAATTATATGCAGACACACCTACCTAATTGTGGTCAGACTCACAGTTTAAATGTGAAAAAACCGTGAAATGTGTTTATACAAAACTTACACTATAAGAATGTCTTCTATACAATGTTGTTTTCTTAAAAACACCATTTTTAATGGTTGCATTTTGTTCTATAGTGTGGATCTCTAGACATCATGTTTTATTTAACCATGAAGTTGACATTGGATATTTGTTCTCCCCATCACACATGATATTTCACTATATCAATGTATTGCTGCAGTGCCAATGTTTGTTTATGATTCTGTGTCTGCATCTGTTTCTTTACGTTATATTCTTAGATGTATAATTATGGGATAGAAAGAAATGAATGTTCTTATAGCAGTTGATATAATATAAATATTATTTTTCACAAAGGATGGAGCAGTTTGCACTTTCACAAGAACATGTGATACCGTTTTGAATGATCACATTAGTGAAGTTTTTTTAAATTAAAATATAATTCAGAGCAATAGATTTATTATGCAGAAAAATCTTTCATCTTGTGGTATGTCTGGAGATATTTCTTCTTATTAAATTTTCTGGATAATAGAGAATTACCAAATATACCACACATAAATAGTTAATTTTAAACTAATTAGGAGGGGCTTTGTTGGGTTTTTCCGCCACCATTACAAATAATACAGATTTTGTTTGTGGCAGAGTGTAGCGGAGTGCCTATTAATAAGAAAGATTTCCTTCTGATGGAATGTAAGTAAAATTTGCTAGATTTTTGGTGAGGGAGGGGAGGTGAGAGCTAAAGTGGATTGCATGTACTCGGGGCCAGCCAGTCCTAGTATGACATTTCAGTACATCTGCACAAAAGCCCTGGAAAGGGTGTGATCCGACCCATTCTACAGATGTTGAATTGAGACTCAGAGAGTTTCAGTAAATTTTTAAGGCCGTGCAGCTAATAAAATGCATAATGGGTATCAAATTCAGTCTTGCTGGTTCCAAATTCCCCCTTCTTTCATGCCACTGAGTTGCCTCCCAGGGAAACATTTCTGCAGAGGAATCATTCATTACATGGCCAGAAGCTAGTCTGAGGAGGTCTTGTTAGTCTGAAGCAGTGGGGAGAGGGAAAGGCAGTGGCATCCCGAGGGTGGAATTGGAGGTGGAGCCTGGCCAGGCTTGAGAGAATTCACAGTCGCCACCTACTAGAAGGAGAAGCGCATGCCGGAGTCGTGGCCTGAGCGGGTCCCCATCCTTTCATGTTATAAGCCGACACTTGAACAAAGTACTGTTGGCCCTGCAAAGTATTGAAACAGAGAGAATGGTACATTGGGAGTTTTATTTAGTCAGTTTTACCCTGTGTCTGATGAACTCATTCATCCCATTACCCACACTTTAACTTTCTAGCTTTTCTTGACTACTATGTTTTTACATGATAATAAACGTGTTTGGGATGCCCTCTTAATTTCTTTGCTTTCTTTTTTCCAAAATTGGAATATCATAGTTGCTTTTTCTGACCTCCCCCCAAATATTATACACCAATTTTTAAGTCATAGTTCTGTAGGGTTTACCAAAACCTGCAATTTCTCACCCTTTATCTGTTTTTCCCTTTTTTCTTCTCCCTAGTGGTGTATGCTATCATCTTTTTCTAACTGATCATCTTGCTTTTTAAAATTTACAAGTTGTAATGGACACATTTTCAGAATAATAATTAAAGATCTGGTCCATTCTTTTAGTGGTTGCATAATACTTCACTTTGGTTAAACACATTTATTTATTTAACCAATCCCTCATTGGTGGACAGATCGTTTCCACATTTTACGATACAGTAAATAATACTGTAATAAATATTCTTCACTCAATAATTTTTTTAAATTAAATCTTTGATATTACTTCCTTTTAAAAACCATTATTAAAACAATAGTTTATATCTTTAATGTCTTAAGATATCAAGAATTAAGGAGTTGTGGCTGCATGGAGGTTCTTCAAAAAAAATAAGAACTTCCATATGATCCAGCAATTCCACACCCAGATATTTATCCAAAGAAAACAAAACACTGATTTCAAAATATATATTCTAGAGAGAATGGTACGTTGGGAGTTTTATTTAGTCAGTTTTACCCTGTGTCTGATGAACTCATTCATCCCATTACCCACACTTTAACTTTCTAGCTTTTCTTGACTACTATGTTTTTACATGATAATAAACGTGTTTGGGATGCCTTCTTAATTTCTTTGCTTTCTTTTTTCCAAAATTGGAATATCATAGTTGCTTTTTCTGACCTTCCCCCAAATATTATACACCAATTTTTAAGTCATAGTTCTGTAGGGTTTACCAAAACCTGCAATTTCTCACCCTTTATCTGTTTTTCCCTTTTTTCTTCTCCCTAGTGGTGTATGCTATCATCTTTTTCTAACTGATCATCTTGCTTTTTAAAATTTACAAGTTGTAATGGACACATTTTCAGAATAATAATTAAAGATCTGGTCCATTCTTTTAGTGGTTGCATAATACTTCACTTTGGTTAAACACATTTATTTATTTAACCAATCCCTCATTGGTGGACAGATCGTTTCCACATTTTATGATACAGTAAATAATACTGTAATAAATATTCTTCACTCAATAATTTTTTTAAATTAAGTCTTTGATGTTACTTCCTTTTAAAAACCATTATTAAAACAATAGTTTATATCTTTAATGTCTTAAGATATCAAGAATTAAGGAGTTGTGGCTGTATGGAGGTTCTTCAAAAAAAATAAGAACTTCCATATGATCCAGCAATTCCACACCCAGATATTTATCCAAAGAAAACAAAACACTGATTTCAAAATATATATTCATCTGAATGTTCATAGCAGCATTATTTACAATAAGCAAGGAATGGAAGCAATCCGTGTCCATCAGCATATGAATGGATAAAGATGTCACACACACACATACACACAGAGACAATGGACTCAGCCGTAAGAGTGAAGTTTTGTCATTTGTGGCAACATGGATGGGCCCAGAGGATATTAGTGAAATAAACCCGAAAAAGACAAATACTGTATGATATCACTTACATGTAGAGTCTAAAAAATAAAGCAAACTAGTAAATATAGCAAAAAGGAAACAGACTCACAGGTATAGAGGACAAGCTAGTGGTTACCAGTAGGGAGAGAGAAGTAGGGAGGGGAGAAACGAGAAGAGAATTAAGAGGTACAAACCACGCAAAAAATAAAGAAGATACAACAGGTATGTAGTGTACAGCGCAGGGAATAGAGCCGATATTTTGTAAGTTTAAATGAAGTATAAACTATAAAAATATTGGATCACTACATTCCATACCTGAAACTAATATAACATTGTAAATAAACGATACTTCTATTTATGTATTTATTTTTGGCCGTGCCCCCTGGCATGCGGGAACTCAGTTTCCCGGTCAGGATCCAACCTGTGCCTTCTGCAGGTGCAGTGGAAGCGTGGAGTCTTAACCACTGGACCTCCAGGGAAGTCTCACATGCTTCAATTTTTGAAAAAGAATTAAGTTATTTTTCGTTTGATTGTAGTATTTTAAAATGTTTTGTATGGTTTTATGTTTTTGCTTTGAGGAATTTTTCTTTTTTCCCCCAAAAGGGTATTTCAGAAGTCAGCACTTGTTAAAGCATTCATTGCTTGTAAAATCTGTAAAATAGTGTTTGAAGTTAAAGAAAATAGCAATCTTTGTAGAGCCTTTGCCAGGGATTTAATAATAGTGGCCTTACCTATTATAAACTTAAATTTTGTAACATTAAAAATGGGTTTCTATGTGTCTCAACGCTATGGAGATTCTGTAGAAGTGTAAATCTGCTTCTAGGCTTTTATGTGATTAGGGTAGCGTCTGCATTACTCTCATTGCACGGCCAAGTGGAAAAACTTAATCCCTATAAAAATTAGTTCAAATATTGGAGAGTTCTCTGTGGAGAGTTTTCCATTTTTATCACCATATCACTTTTTCTTTTAAGCAATGGAAATTCCCTTGGGTTCTCACTGGCCCTCTTCCATCATGTGAGCTATAGTGTTGGGAATCAGATGCTGATAGCATCTCTGGGGGCCACCCACTCAGGCGTTTGTTTGTTCTGCTAATCCATAGTTTTGGCCCCTGGTGTAGACGTGTAAGTAAGATGAAAAGTTAAGATTCTGGGATGATGACCCAACCACCAAGGATTCTATTAGAATAAGCTGGTTCAGACTTGAAGAGGTGCAACCTAACACAGCTTTTTAATTCTGGGCTTCAGGATTATGCTTTACAGATAACTGTTTTAATTGACTAGCCTTTTAGAAAAACAAGAAAATTCTCCCTCTGCCTCTCACATTTGAAGGTCCTAAGATATTAATTATTTGAGTTGGATAAAAAAAATGCAGGTTTAAGTTTACCTAAAACCTTTTTTAATTAAAAAAAAATTGACGATCCAGTTCTGTTGCATTAATTGTTTGAGGAAATATAGGGTTTGTTCCAGTCTGAACTGAGTTGTTAGGTGTTTTTATATACTGCATTTCATATGCTCATATAGTTTGTAGTTCTATAAATAATTAACATTTAGATTGGTTAAACAAATAAGCACAGTTTGTTCCAGTTTTTCATTCACAGTTTAAATTAGTTCAGGTTACTGAGAAGTGTAGTGCAACCATATATAGTTTCTTTTTTTTTGTGAAAGCAGATTTAGACACACTTTTTTTTTGTAATCAAGGGAAAAGGATTTCTCTCAGGAAATTGTGTGACTCCAGTTGATGACTGATCTCAACCGAGGCTGTCGGGGTGAGGGTTAGATGAGGCTGTTATTTTTACCATCAGACAGGGAGTCAAAATTGGATCTCTGAGAGCCTTTGATCCCTCCCCCCACCCCCGAGATTAAACTGTGATCCAGAAAGCAGCAGCTTTCAAGGCTTGCATGAGGCCAGTCTTTTTCTGATCTCTGTAGAACATGGCAGCTTACAAAGTGGTTCATGCTGTCTGCTCACTCCTTTGTGGGGTTCAGATTATGGATACCAGACATATCATGCTTAATGAGTGGCAGTTGTTGCCAGAGGAATGGGCGTTGGCTGTTGCTTCCAAAGTAGGCATTTGCTACGAATATCCCAGCACAGACATCAGGGGCAGGGGAACGGGGAGTGTGATGGGAGGACTTGGCCTTTACCGTTGTAAGTCCTGTGATTGTGTATTTCAGGGTCTGCAGGTTTTCCATGATGATTTCTCCAGCCAAAGGACAAAAGTCTTTAGACATGCTCCATTCCACTGGATGGAAAGGGGAGGGTGGGGGAAAGAGAGGGAGAGAGAAAAATAGAGAAAGAAAAAGGAAGAACAGTCATCTATCAAGAATCTCTCTCAAAAACAGTGAAGTTTATCATCTTCCCCTATATTGGCAACCTAACAGTTCCCAGGGTAAGGCAGTTTCCACGTCCACCTTTATTTTTTTTAAAACAAAAGCAGGAAGAAAGCAATCACTCACTCAACAGTGATTGTGCATGCTAAGTCACTTCAGTTGTGTATGACTCTTTGTGACCCCATGGACTGTAGCTGGCCAGGCTCTTCTGTCCAGGGGATTCTCTAAGCAAGAATACTGGAATGGATTGCCATGCCCTCCTCCAGGGGATCTTCCTGACCCAGGGATTGAACCTGCATCTCTCAAGTCTCCTGCAGTGGCAGGTAGGTTCTTTATCCCAGCACCACCTGGTATGTATTTATGTATATAGACCCACACATGCTAAGACATATTAAATATAAGTTTGTTGTATATGGAAGAGAAGTTATTTATTACATGTGAGAAGTGAAGGCATCATTAGGCATCATCCTAATGGGATTGTGGCTGAGCTCCCCACACACCTGACATCTCCAACGCGGGTGTTCATTCACAGTTAAATCTAACACTCAAATTGTAACACCCCATTTTACTGTGAGACATGCTCTTTCATAACATTTACCACTGGTTGGAAAAACCCATGGTCAGGAGAGAGACATTGTACATCATCAGTAAAGAACATCTTAAGTGACCGTTTACACATGGCAGGATTTGAGGCAATCCTAAATGGAGCATGAGCTTAAGTCACATGGAAGACAAGGCCTGCGTATTTCTAAGCCTCATGATGACGAGCTATAAACCTTAAGATTTAAATTATATTCTCTATGACACTTAAATTCTTCAAAATTAAGCCAAACCATCTAAATCCTGCTGCTCCCCCAGACTCAGACAATTCCTCTGCTTGGAAATACTCCATTAAGTACTTTTTCCTATAGGAATGTTTCTCTTCTCTTTTTCTTAATTCTAACTCATGACTTTGCCACACATCTAGTCAACTAACCTAAAACTCGGTGCATCCTTGCCTCCTCTTTTTCTCCAATTCCTCACAACCGGTTGATTGCTATACCCAGTAAATTCTGTTTTTGAATGCCTCCTATAAATTTCCCTCTTCCCCTACTGAAGCTATTCTAGAGCAGACTCATATTCATGAGCATCAACTCTGCAATTGAGTTTTTTTAGGCCTAATTAATAAACTCTCCTAATTGATTTTTCTGTTCATCTCCATATCCTTATATACAATCTTATTGTTACCTGCATTATAGTTTTAAGATGAAGATCGAATTATTTAGTTTCTCTGCCTAAAATATTTTCACAGTGTCTAGTTGATTTCCAAGTGAGGTGAAATCTTAACAAGGCATTCAAGGACCTTCACAGGCTAGTCCCAACCTTATTCTACTATCCTTATGTTCTGCCATTTCCCAAAGCAAAGTTCTTGCTTTATAAATCTCTGTTGCCTGGCTATTATTCTGTGTGTTTTTATGCCTCTGTCTTGTGTTCATCTTCCAACTTTGCTTGTCAAAACCCTACTAATCCTCTGAATTCCTTAGGAATAATTAATTAAATACATCTTTTTCTGTGTTCCTAAAGTACTTCATTTGATTAAAAATAAGATTTAATACACATAATTATGCTTTATTGTATGTGTCTCTTCTTCTTGTTAGATGTTGGGAAATTTAAGAATAAGAAAAGTGTTTGTCATATTTTCCCTCTAGATCCACCCGTGGATCTGTGTTCTTGGTGTATAGAAGATTCTTACTAAATCTTTCACAAATCAAATACATATATATTTGTTTTTTTGTGTGCATTTGCATATATACATATGCTCACACACACACAATCCAGAATAGACTGGTTTTCCAACATAGAGATATTTTTCTCCTGTGAATCTTCTCCTTCTCCAGACTCTTGCCCTTTGAAGCTCTCAGGAACATTATAAAGTCTAATTAGAATCAAATGATTAAGGTTTTATGTTTACTCTCAAATCAAGCCTATACCTTATTATAAAAACATATTCTAAAAAATATATATGGATGCATTTTAATATATGTGTTTCATATATGTATGTATATATGTATAATTTTTTTTTCAAATGTTTTATTATGCTTATGAGCTCTTAGCTCTTGAAAAAGCCAAGTTTCTTAAAGTCAAATTGGAGAGAGTTTGTAATCAGAGAATAATGTTGCATATTATTTTAAGCTAAAGAAAAAAGAGCAGTCACTGAGAGAATTATCACAAACAAAATGAAAATCAGTAGCACATGTGCGAGGACATTTATAAAGAACAAAGAATATAGGAAAATTCTAGAAACAAAAATATCTTTGGTTGCCATTGAGACATACATATATGGTTGACTGATGTGGTGAAGCCCCAAGCCCAGAGCTGAGGATCAAGAGTTTCTGATTTTGGGCTGAGGATTCAGGGTAACGTCCAAAAGAAGAGCTAAGGATTAGTGGGAACAAGACCAGATTATTTGAGAAATGATTAATGAAAAGTTGCTCAGAGATGCAGTATTTAAAATTTCTGAAGAAACAGCAATTTATTTTTGAAGAAGAGCTATCATGTTCTATTGAAATATGTTCTACAAAGCATATTTCAGATGGAAAACAGGGCCTGGCTTCTTGAAAAACAGCACACAAAAAACCAAATAGAAGCAGGTTTGTAGGGAGGTATGATCCTCTTTAGGAGTTAATAGAAAGGTTTAAACGTTTAAGTCTAATTTGATCTTATAATGTGTGTAGATTTCAACAGGGGAAGGACTTAGAGAAAGAGAAGACTCACATGAAAGGAAAAAAATTCTCCACATTGGAATGGCCAATCCATTCTGGGACAACCTATAGTTTTTTTTCCCTCCATGTACATCCTTGGGTTGGTGGGCTATTCTGACATAAAGAAAGGTGATTCTGCTCACTCCTGGAAATAGAGTGAATAGGACCACTTTGAGACTCAACTGGGAGTTCTAAGAAGGCAACTTAGTAAGGTCTCTCTGGAAAGTTATGTGTAGGTAGTTTAAAGACTTAATATTAAAGCCACGAGAAAAATCACTTATAAGTCTGCTCTAAATCCCTGAAGGGTTGGAGCTGTGTATATGAAGTTTAAAACTATATAAGACTTATAATTTTCAGATAAAGATCAGGGCAACTGTTTCTACTTATGTCTGGGAAATAGAAGCAGGGTTCAATCATGCAATAGCTCACAGCAGCTGAACATTAGTAAAAAAGGTGCCAGATAAAACCTAGGTGTTAGTGTTTCTTAACATTTGGATCTGGCTCAAACTGAATCAGTGTATTTATATAAAATAGCTATGAATATTTTAAATGTGATTTGCTATTTTAACAAATATTTCACTTTTATCTAAGCTTTAGAAACGTCAGCTGGGCATGAGAGTTCTAGCTGAACTATCCCCATTTTCCTGATGACAGTTATGTAAACCACAGAGTGAAAGCTTAAGAAGAAAAAGAGTTCCTGATGGTTTGGCCTTGTCATTTGAAGTCTACAATGTAAGGAGAAATGTCCCAGGGAGAAGGGTAGAAAATGCATGACTGGAAGCGCTAGGGTACGCAAGCAGAGAACTTAGTCAAAATGCAGGTCAATTTCATGCCTCATGGTGTGGATTGAGTGATTAACAAACCCTGAAGAGTTGTAAGAGTGTTATAAATGAGGAGGCCATCCAGAGTATGCCGGAACCTCAGTGACACATGCACTGCTGTGTGATGATGAGGACTGTATAAAAGTAAAGGCATAAAGAGGTCACATTGCAGCCATGTCTAGTTTCTCTTCAAGTGATTAAAAAAAAAAAGTAAAACTCGCTATTGTCCAGCTTCTCCCTCAAATCTCAAATGACTCAAAGTCTAGAGAAGTTGTTTTACTCTCTTAACACATCAGGAGGACAGACTCTAGAAGGTATCCTCTTGTCCAGGCCCTAACCAAGCTTTGCACTTGAGCCTCATCAGTCTCTCGACTTCAGACCCATTGCTTATGCTATCTTCTCTTTTGGTATGCTCGCCTTTCCTGAAATCTTCTACCCACTTCATTCAAACCCCTGGTTCCAGGACCCTTCCTTTCCACAGCTTTTCTTGGCTTTCCAAGGGAAGCCCCTTTGCAAAACTCCCCACAGCAATTGTAATACATGTTACCTTGCACTTGCTTTATTATTTTGTATCTAAGAGATCTGTCTCCTCTTTAGTCTATGAGCTCTCTGAGAGCCTGAACCAAGCTGCATTAATGCCAGTTTCCAAAGCATCTGTCACAGCACCTAGCACAATGTAGGTGGCTCAGTATATACTGGGCGAACTGAATACTTAATTCATGACTTTGGAATGCTTGAAGACTAAGATAGACAGAAATCTGACCCTGGTTCTTAAAGAATAAGAAAACAGTGTTAGAACAGAAAAAATTACAGTCAAAAGAGAACAGAAGTTATTTGAGCTGCTTAATAAGCAGTTGAGATGGAGATTAATTCCTGGCTTTCAGATTCCCAGCATCCCAGGCTGTTCACTTGTCTATGTTGCCTCTGAGGACCCCCAAAACTAAAGTTTATTTCCTATTCCCTATCAGCACGTCTATGGAACCAAAACAGCATTTTTACTGGCCACACTCACCCGGCGCCTTAGCTAATGAATGGAATTTGGCTAGACTGCCCAGCCCAGCACCAGAGCATTATGAAATCTTCCCTTGATCCATCTAATTGTGCAGTTTCTAACCTTTCAGGCCAACCATAGCACAAGAGGAAGAGAGAGGGAGAAAGGAACGTGCCGAGAAACCCGGAGAAAGATCAAATATAGTCATTTCGAGAGATGAGAAGATCTGTCTCGCTAAAGCATGGACCCGCCCCCCACTTGTGAGTTTTAAATTGGGAACTGACCTGAAAACTCTGAATCTGGGAATTCTGTTTAGGTCTGGCAACATACGAGATTGGAGCCGCTTGCATTTTTTATTT